AATGGATTGAAAACAGTACATTTAAGAGTACAGTCAGAGTTAAAAGTAAGTACACATGTATACACCTTATTCTATTATAATATTCAAGGTGTTTTTGATGAAAAAAGTTTTTCAATCATTTTTTATTAAAATTTTCAAGATTTCAGAATTTTTAAAAACTTTTGAGGTATGCAATAAGAAAGTGCAGGTTCCAAGTGCCTGAAAATTTCCGTTCATTTTAAATAATTTTTGTGTAAACCGTATAGCGTATTTCCTTCCATACAAAAATACATATTGCATGTACGCTCTCTCCATTATATCTGCGTACACCCTTGTTTTTTTAAACATTCACAATGTTTTGCAAGCTATAATTTTTTTGTTATTTTTTTACAAAAATATGGTTCATGCCTCAAACAAAATCATATAACTCAATTGTATGCTACAAAGTGCATACAAAATTAAGAAATATTTAATGAATTTTCATCGAAATTTTAAACTTTTTACTCAGCTTTTTTAAGAAAATTTCTGGTATGCAATTTTTTATTATTATTAATTAATTATAGCTTGCAAAACATTGTGAATGTTTAAAAAACAAGGGTGAACGCAGATATAATGGAGCGAGTGTACGTTATAGTAAGCAATAAAATTATTTAAAATGAACGGAAATTTTCAGCTACTTGGGAACTTGCCTTTTCTTTAATTGAAATTTAATGCGCTACAAAACTACATACCCAAAAAGGCTAAAAATTCTGATTAGAAAGTTTGAAAAAATTAGAATATATGTATTTGTTGAATTTTTGTGAACTTTATATAAGGTAAGAAACTTTGATTTACATGGTTCTAGTTATATAATGAACTATATTTTGATAAAAAAATGCTTGAACAAATTTTTTCATGAAAAACATTTAGGGAGTTCACAAGTCGTGCTATTTGTCATATTTGCTCTTTTGTACTATTTTTTTACAACAGTTGTAAAATGAAACTTGTGAGCATCCCATACTTTTTCGTGTGCTATTGTACAATATTTTAACAATTATATTTGACAAAATCAAAATTATTAAAACAGCTTTAGAAAGTTTATAATGCCCAGAAGAAGCGAGAAAAGCAAATTAATGGCTGCGATTTGCGAGAAGTACGCGCAGGACGCAATGATGGAAGGAAGTGAGTCGTCAAATAAGTCATTTATGAGTTTTTTAAATTTATTTGGTGCATTTTTGTTAGACGATGAAGATGAGGAGGAAGAGATCAGCTTCCACTGAATTTCTAGTTTTTTTTTCTTCACAGAAACGCGTATAAAAATCCTGGGCGGACGGCTTCTGCAAATATGTACTTATATTTCCAAATTATATTTATACATATGTGTTTAAGGAAAAAACCTCAAATAGGCGGTTTTCTAAAAGAAAATCAATTAGGGACTTCTCTTCCGACACTGTCCACATATGGTTTGGTTTTCCCCGGACACGCTTAGTTTTGCACTGAATTAAAAAAGATCTTTAATAAGTTAAATATGTTATAAATTAAAGATAACTTACTCCATTGCCATGAGATGACTCCATTTTTTATTTAAAATTTGAATATTTTATTGTACTCAGACAAGGAAAAATGTAAATAAATAGAAATGTCTGATCCAATAGCACTCACAAATAGCAAAGTAAACATATTTTTCAAAGTTGTATTGTAATACAACAATTTTACTTGTAAAGCAATAACAACACTTTTAAAACTGTTCTAAAAAAATAGTATAAAAGAGCAAATATGACAAATAGCACGACTTGTGAACTCCCTAATTGTGAATATTATATTAGAACAAAG